CCCCCTCCCCTCCCAGAGCTGGGGACAGACCCCAGGGGTCCTGGCTCCTAGATCCCCCCTCCCCTCCCAGAGCTGGGGACCGACCCCAGGGGTCCTGGCTCCTAGATCCCCCCTCCCCTCCCAGAGCTGGGGACCGACCCCAGGGGTCCTGGCTCCTAGATCCCCCCTCCCCTCCCAGAGCTGGGGACAGCCCCCGGGGCTCCCAGCCCCTCTCTCTGGTTTCTAATTCCTTTTCAGCCCAGCTCTGCCTCATTTCTCTTCTAACCCTCCCCAGCCCCCCAAACAAGGGCAGGAGGCAGTGAGCACTTGCTGGGTGGGGTTTGGCTGTGGGGGCTGGAGCAGGAGGGGAGTGGGGGGGAGGGGAAGGGCTGCAGAGCAGAAGGCTCTTGCACTCTTGTGGCGCGCGGCCTGGCCCAGTCCCCCCTTACCCGCGTGCTGACCGTGGAGCTGGAGAAGTCAGAGTACTTGGCCGGTCTCTTGAGGCCGCCGCAGCTCAGCCACCTGCGGTACTCGTCCCTCACCTGGCAGGAGAGAGGAGAGGGCTGGTCACCCCACGGCATAGGGGAGCTCGCGGGGGTGGGGCCTCAGCTGTAGGGAGACAAGGGCCCAGAACTGGCAGGGCAGGGGGGAGCTCTCAGCTACGCCAGGCCCAGCCCCTCCCAGCAGAGGGCATTGGGGGGAGCTCCCAGTGGCGGGGCTGTGGGGCAGGGGCTGAGCGCCAGCTGTGGAAGGAGCCTCGGGGGGGCTATGTGGAGCAGGGGGTGAACGCTGGCTGGAGGGGTGCCCGGGGAGGGGGGATGCTGTGGGGCGTGGGCTGTGGGGGGACTGGCCTGTTTCTTGAGCAGACAGTGCAGCAGGAAGATGAAGAGCCCCTGCAGGCTGTTGAGGATGGTGAAGATGTAGGAGACGACCAGGCTGCGCTGGTTGAACTGGAACAGGCCGAAGATCCAGGTGGTGCCCAGGACGCAGAGCTGGGCGATGGCCGTGATGGTGAGCACCCTGCGGGGGAGGGGGAACCAGTCACATGGCCCCGCCCCTCAGCCACGGCCCACCTCCCCTCCCCTCTGGGGTCCTACCCCTCAGCCTCAGCTCCTGTCTCCCAGGGGTCCCACCCCTCAGTCACAGCCCACCTCCCCTTCTCTCCTAGGGCCCCACCCCTTGAGTCAGAACCACCCCTCCCCCCACATGTGACTGACATCTCCTGCACACAGCCCCACCTCCCCAGGCTCTGCCCCCCAGCCAGTAGGGGGTGGGGGAAAATGTCACTCATCTGTGGCTCCCTCCCGCCACACATGGGGGGATGATATCTCGCTACTCTAATCCCCCCCCAGGTCCCCCTCCCCCGACGGGGGGCAGCAGGGCAGTGCCAGGGTCTCTGCTGCCCCGGGGGCCGCGCCCGCTACCTGAGCTTCTTCAGCTGGCTCATGTTAGGGTTGATGTCAGCGAATTTCAGCGACAGCTTCCAGACGGTGACCACGAAGATCACGGCGTTGACCTGCCGGGGGCAGGGGAGAGGCGGGTTGGGAGGGGGGCAACTGTGTCCCAGGGGGGGGGGCCATGGGGTCCGCCAGCCGCG